CCGTAGTGACGAATTTTCGGTGCTTTCGTACCAATCAAACTGTTGACGCATTCGTTTCGCTGGCTGGACCCACATGGAGCAAGCTTTTTGGCTGCCTCTTCAGTGAGAAAAGGTTTCATAGCATCCTCGATACTAGCTCGCAGATCGTCTCCCTAGAATGACACAATTTTCCATTATCCAAGTACACCAAAACACTTTGAAAAAAGCAAGAGTGCCTGTCGACCAAGATGCTTTGCGGCCGAGGTTTTGATTTTCGTATCATACGGACATATTTTGGTGAATTGCCTTTATCTAACAATATTGCGCGAAGTTTGCTAAGTATAGTTTCTCTGCTAATTATTCAAAGATTTATTCTAGTTCAATTTTCACTTTTTGTGAGTTAAAGCATCTTGACCGCAAAGCATGCATTTAGACAAGTATTATTGAAATCTGATTGGCTCCCATACTCGCTATCTATTCCGTGATAGATGTTCAGTAGAACTTTTATGGGCCATCCCACGGTATATACCGGTAACGTATCTTTTGTAGAGCTCATCTACTATTCTCTGGCTATAGTGCTCTTGTCTTGAAAAGTGTAGAATGTACGAAAACCAACGCGAACACCCCTCGCTCCTGGTAACAGGTAGCAGCGTTCCATCCGAGATTAACAAATTACCTGAAGATCTCTTCCACCAGCAAGGTCGCCATGACTGTAGTTTTCTGGGTCCTGCTTGTATGTACACCATTCTTTGCAAAGAGTGTGTTCTCCGAACGCGTGTGGCACTATCGACCTCAGCCCCTCCAACAAAGATGACTCCTTTCCCTTGTTCTGTCTTATGCAATACGTAAAGCATCTTTGCATATATCCAATAACTGCTGGGCTGAGACCCTTCACTTTGGACTTGACAGCATACAGTCTGGAACCCAACGTGCGGCTTGCGTGATTGATGTCGCTCCATTTTTCTATGTCATAGGCTACCAATGACTGCAACCGATTCTCTGTTGTGCTATCATCATCACCAACATACGTCGAGTAACGTACGCCACCTTCGACTGCATTACCAAATAGCTGCACTGCAACGTTGGCCTCCATACATTTGGATGAGCCTTGGTGATTACGACGGCAGTCGTGCACGGTGGGCTCCCTGTTGTTAGCAACAGCCTCTTGACACACTCGGCATAAGGTATTCCGCGTGGCATAGCTGATCACTTTTCCCGTCTTTAGCCCCACTGCAGTCCCCACTCCGGATGAGGAATCATAGCTCTTGCCACGCTTTCTCCATCCCATGTCGTAGGACACGCCCACTGCCACTGGTCCTTCCCCTTGACCGTCATTCTCTGAGAGGTCCCTTTCCATCTCCGTAAACGCGGCACACGACCGCTTGGCCACACTCTCAATGGCACTTCCAGCTTCTCGTTCTCGTTTCTTGTAGTTTCGCGAAGTCAGTGACGGTAGACCAAGGGCAGACATCAAACCAGAGTACTGTGAATGGCCGATTCCGGTATGCAAGGCCCCGAGACCTGCTCTGGAATTGATGTCAAGAGTCGCTGACCCCCGTTTGCCAGTTCGGTGGCTCTCGGCAGGGCGGATACTGTTGATGGAGCAACAATTACTGCATTTTACTTTTAAAATAGGTATCGGTCCTTCCGGTCGCACGTCTTGACAACTGTTGGCCAGTCCTAACGGCCCCTTATCACAATATTGACATTTCTCAAGCGCTTCCGTAAGCATTTCCAGGTTGACAACAGTATTCTTGGCTAGCGTTCCCTATTTTCTTATACGGCGGGTCCGAACGTAAAATAGGTCTCGTGGGCGAAGACACTGACGCCTTGCATCGTTTTTCCGTTGCAGCTAGTTTACTGGCTCTCATCTTTTCACACTTCTCCTCATATTGTCTCCTCTTCTTTCTTTTTATCTCACTACTCTCTGTCGCTGCACTCTCTGGGGGACTCTCCTGATGGAAAAATACGAAGTCCGCAATATTAGGACGTCCTATCATGATGTCAATGATATTTAAATCAAGCTCAATAATGTTCAAATAACTCTTAAAATAATGGACACTTACGAACCTGAAGCACAATCTCTTCTCCGGGAACCTCTTTTCTCACTCGAATAGCATTCAACACCCCAGCCATTTTCTTTCTAGAGTTTTTAATTCTCGGCATGATGCACACTCAGCTGGTTGGAGACGTTGCGTGACGGGAATCCCTTCTATTTTTTCATTCTAATTATCATATGTCGGTGAGCATTCGGAAGTCAACCAAGCGTGGTCATTGCGCGCGTGCTGAACAAGAATGCTGTATAATGACAGACTAGAAACAATAGACAATTCCCAAAGCACAATCTCGGCCAAAACGCTGAAAATGTTCAATGTTTACTCAACTTTGGGCTTCTAGAAGATAATGTTACAGTTTTTCAATGACCATGAAATTCATAGTCCGGGTAGTTAGTTAATCAATCGTGGCCCTGAAAAAATTTGAAGAAAAAAAAACTACGAATTTTTAAGAAAATGCTTTTTTCGTGAGAAGGACTCTCAAACGCTGACAAACGTCAACAAATAGCGAAAACTATAATTTGTATATGTTTGCTTTGCTCGAAATCGCGCGCATTTACAAGGCCCTAAACCTTTTTGCTGACTTGCAAGGACCCATCTGTTATAACGATCCCGAAAATAAAGGGATCAGTCTCATAGTTTATTAGATATAATCGTGTAAAGTTTGCTTATCATTTTCGCATAAATTATGACCTCAATTTTGAAACCGCTGAATTTCTCGAATTGGGTCTTTGCGCCTTGTCGAAATTCTGTCCAGCGCAAGGCACTAATGCGCACTATGTGTAGCCGAGAGATTTTCACGAAAAAATGCCGGCAACAACAGATTTTCGACTCAGACCTCAAAGGGGCGTGGCATTATAACCACGTGACATTTACTCCGATCGCCAAAAATTTTATGTTATATTGTAGATTGATCTATATGTTATCCATTCTATGTGTTAGACTTAAGATAAAAGTAAAGGTGGGGATACCAGAGAGCTTCAAAGTAGGATGGTACCCCCCCCAAAAAACTGGGTCGAGTCACCTTAAGCTCAGGCGTCAGCAACTGGAAGCAAGACCTCTTCCCTTTTTATATGCCTTGACGCCACCACATTTGTATTGATAAGTGTCATTACTCTTATAGAGACGATCTGCCTGAAAATTTGCCCAAGAACCGCTGCCCAAGAATGCAAATAGTCCACTTCTGGTGGCCGTTGAAACGCCTTATCTTAACCAGAAACGGGGTGTCTAGAAAACGATGACCTAGAAAACGAAGACCTACGACCTAGAAAACGACGACCTAGAAAACAACGACCTAGAAAACGACGACCTAGAAAACGACGACCTAGAAAACGGTGACCTAGAAAACGACGACCTAGAAAGCGATGACCTAGAAAACGGTGACCTAGAAAACGACGACCTAGAAAACGACGACCTAGAAAACGACGACCTAGAAAACGACGACCTAGAAAACGATGACCTAGAATGCGACGACCTAGAAAACGACGACCTAGAAAACGATGACCTAGAAAACGACGACCTAGAAAACGACGACAAGGATAGGGTACCTCGAAGGATTAAGGGGTTAGAGGGGTACAGAAGGCGGGAAATGGACGATAGGAGGGAATTATGAAGGGGTGAGTAGTTAGTAAAATGGGTATCCTAGCTCGATCTGATAAGATTTCTGGCTCAACTATAAATAAATCTAAAATCCCAGATTATGCAAGGGGATACAAAAAAGAGTACCTATTTATAAGAGGTATCAATAAGACATGTGAAAAATTTGTAAAGTTAATAAAAGAAAGAGAAGAATTTTATAATAGTTATGAAGCTCTTAAAATTATAAGTAAAATAAAAGAATTAAAAAGATTAGGTTATTTTAATAATATTAGAAGAATGAAATTTGAAATTGATGATGTTAAAAATATAGAAATTATAAAATCAGAAATAGAAGAATATAGAGATTTATATGTCATAAATATACTGGTAAATTAAATAAGGAACTATATAATATAGAAGCAGATAGAGATAATCCTGGTTTTAAGAGTTTTTATAAACATTTTACTAGATTTTATGAAGAAATAAAATACAGGAATGAATATCTTTTTATAGGAGGGTTTAATAAGACATGTAACAAATTTGTGAAGTTAGTAAAAGAAAAAGTAGATTCTTTTGATAGTTATGAAGCTTTTAGAATTATAAATAAAATAAAAGAAATGAAAAGAAATAATAATATTAGTATAGAATTTGAATTTGAAGATATTGAAAATTTAGCATTTATAAAATCAAAAATAGAAATTTATAAAAATTTATTTCGTAATCCAGATACTGGTCATTTTGGTAAGGAATTTTATAATGTATTAATAGATAAAGTTAATCCTGGTTTTAAAAGTTTTTATAAACATTTTACTAGATTTTACAATGAATTAGGAATAGATAAATACTACTTTTATTAAAGTAATGTCAAATTTAATCTAATAAGATTATAAGACGTAATGACTAACCAATCAGTTAATTATTATATTGAAGATTTATCTAAACAGATTAAGGAGGCAAAAGAAACTAATAATTTAAAAAGAGAAAAAATCTTGAAAGGTTTTAGTAGACTTTTATCAATTTGTAAAAATATTTATAAAATAATGGATGATTATGAGGATTGTGAGGAGTTTAAAGAAATACGTTTTTTTTATTCTTATGTAACTCAAATTTTTTGTAGATATTTAGAAAATTATATTGAAGGTAAAAAGATTAGTTTAGAACGTTTAGAAAATATTGTTTATGGTTTGTCATATGAATACACTTTTTATGGTGGAGGTTTTGATCAAAGAAGAAATAGTTATTTATATTTTTTTAAGTAAGTGTGTTTTGGAAGATGAGGATAGTGATGAGGCTTTATATATTCCTATACCAATTACAAAAACAGATAAATGGTATAATGATTTAAAGTTTATTAATAAATATTAAAAATAATCTAATCAAATAATAAAAATGGAATTTAAGAATGATATTCCTACAAAAGAAGACATAGATTTTATAGTTGATGATGGTTATAATCATGATGAGAACCCAACATATGAGCCTAAAGATTCTTACTCATCAGATGATGATAGATATGTTGTTACTGGTAAAGAGTTTAAAAAACTAACCAATAAAGCTAAGAAACTTGGTGCTGAATCGTTTGATTATTCAACTCGCAAAAATAACAAATATGTAACAACACTTTCAAGTGGAAAGAAAATACATTTTGGTTCTTCACAATATCCAGATTTTTTAATTCATAAAGACAAAGAGCGAAGAGAGAGGTATCTCGCTCGAGCAAAAAAGATGAAAAATAAACAGGGAGAGTTAACTTATACTAATCCTGAATCGGCTAATTTCTGGAGCGTGAATCTACTATGGCCAGAAAAAAAATGAATTATGGCTTAAGGATTAAATTATTATTATAAAAAATGCAGTTATCCAGTTATGATAATCTTACCCAAGACAATATCATCTTTAAAGAAGCCAAAGAATTCAGAGTAAAGGATAGTAAGATTAAATACAAGCGTATTCCAATTGAAGTCAAATATCCAAATGGTAAGAAAGGAGCTTTGGTAATTGAAACTCCACTTCTTTTCTCTTTTGGTGTAAATGAGAGGAAACATCAAGAAACAAACAAGTTTGTAGGTTATAGTATGCCAGTATGTCTTGGGGCTAAAGATAGCAACCTTAATCCTCAAGAACTATCATTTTTTGAAACCCTAAACAATGTTATGGAATTATGTAAACTCTCTGTTTAAGACAAAGGGAAAGAAGGATTTAAATCCTTTTAAATATATTGACAGTACTGCAATGTACGCATGGCACTAATAATAGAAGGAATCTTTATAAGTAAAACTGTCACATCTTTGCAAATAAAAGTACATGAGTGCTATGTCAAACCATTAAAACCTAGAGAGTCTTTACTATCAATTAAAGAGGAAGATGAGAATAGCGAAAGTGAAGAGGATAATAGTTGTGATACTGAGCAAGTAGTTGAAGAATTAGTTATCTCTGATGAAGAAACTGAGTAATATTAGGATTTATTTTTAATACACTTATTTGTATTAAAAATCAACCAAATCCTTAGAACTAATCCATGAGTTAAATTTATCAGGATATCCACTCCATTTTACTAATGCCATTTTTTTCTTGTTATTTCGTCTGATAACTTTTTCTATTCTAAACGTCTGCTGTTTTGCTTTTTGTAATTCTTGATCGTAGAAAGAGCCCTTAATCTCTTCTCCCATCAAATCAACAATGCTATACGTAACAGGTTTTGTTGGTAGAACTTTATCAATAATGAATATCTCCTCTGTCCAGTTTGGTGTGTAACCTTTATCAAATACTTGTCTCTTATACTTTGAAATTCTAACGTGGTTTCCAATCGCGAACTTTGCTTTACCAGGTTTCAAGTAAATCGAATCACCGTACAAATTAGACAAAACTTTACTTTCATTTTTCTTTTTACTCGCTTCAACAGGAGTCATTTTTATACTAGAATGTCTCGCATTATTCTAATCATCAACTAGTTTATCTATCTTGTCCCAGTAAACAGTCAGGGGCACCCAACGGGAAATTTTGAGAAAAAGACCTAAAAACAACAACAAAGCGTGAATAAAGTTTTCTGAGACTATTTTAAGCATTTTGGGAGATTGCTGGAAAAAAATTATCTGTTCCTCACTCCCAGCAAGACTGATGGAAGAGTTCCCAGCCAGCAACCTTACAACCTGCAACCTGACTTACTGGGAAGTTTCATAGGGCACAATTCAGATCTTGAGTGGTAAGCAACCCATACAAGTAACCCGTAGCAGCTATTCTAGACTTCAAATCCCCTCTGACACCCTGAATTATCTTTTTCCCAGCAACACTTTCCTTCCAAGGACTATTATTTCTTCCACATCTCCCAGCCAGCAAACATTTGCATGAAGAACAGATATTTTGAGGAACAGATCCATTGGGTGCCCCTGAACAGTGTTGTTATTCACAGTAAACATCTTCCTCATTCTATTTTTCATTGTTTTATTCCATCGCTCAACAACACTAGATTTCTCTTCGTTTTCAGTGTGATAAAGTTTGATTCCCTCTCTTTTCAGAAAATCTTTGAAATGTTTACTGATAAACTCAGAACCTTTATCTGTCCATAGCATATTTGGTTTACGTTTACTTTTGAATATGTCATCAAATGCTTTACTTACAGTTTCAGTTTTTTTGTCTTTTAGACCCCTAATCCAGCCATACTTGCTAAATACATCTATAATCATTAAAAGATATTTAATCCCTTTGTTCCACTTACTAAACTTTTGCATTTCAACCAAATCAGCAATCCAGATTTCATCAATTCCGTTTGAGACTACTGATCTCTTTTGAAAGTTTCTTGTGATTGGTTTGTGAAGTTCGTCGGCTAATTGTTGAGACCAATCACTACTCAACGCCGACGCGCGTTTAAACCAAGTCCAAGTTTTTGTTTTGTATTAATCATTGTTCTAGCTAAAGTATGACCCCATTGTCTCTTTTTCCAAGGAATTGCACCCAGGGATTTTATCATTTTTTTATCTGCAGCATGTTTGCATTTTAATTGTTCACTTTTAGGTTTGTTACCACAAACTGTGTAATCCACATCATGTTGCATACTAACTGCATCAGTTGGTCCTGTAGGTTGTTGATAGATTTCTAATATATTTCCTTCATCATCATGACGAAGTTGATCATGAAGAGGATTTCCAGGGCCAGTATAATTATGACCGGGTATTGTCAGTCCTCCATATGGTGAAACTTTGAGAATGGATTTATGAATATCAAAAGCTCCACCAGCGCGGACTGCACCTCCAAAACTTACTAAAGGATTATTTTCCCAAAAGTGTTCGTCAATTATAATTCCATACTTATTTTTTATGATATCAGGCCATGTATCTGGATTAGATGAAATAATGTTGTACATATCTGCCAATGCTTCTGGGTTTCTATTAAAAAACGTTTCCTTTTTCATTCTATATCTCTTTCCATCTTTGTTAAATGCAAAGAATAATTCAGGATTACTACCTTTGCGTATTATTCCTTTTGCTTTCTCTTCAGCCGCTGTTGGTCGTCTCCAGAATTTACTAGATGTGATTCTATGTTCACTTCCAAAAGCGGACTTCATAATATCCCCAGATTTATATCTATCATAAACTGGTTTCAGCGATGGAATTAGTTCTTGTGTTGTTTTCATCGCGATATCTGGTGCTTTTTTTACAACAGTCATCGGGGAAATACCCGATGCGGTTATCGGGGAAATACCCCTACCGTCTAAATCCTTTCTATCAGTTTTATATTTCTTTTTGGGTCTTACTTTGGTTGACAGCTGGTCCATTGCTGTTCCAACAGAATCTTGAATAAATGGAGTTAGTTTATTGAAGAAGAATTGAGTGCGCCCACGCTTATCTTTCTGGTAACCGCTTGGTTCTGTGCAAGGAGTTACTCTTTTATCTTTAATGCAATATGATTCTTTCATTTAGTATAATGATTAGATAAAATGACAACGAGAGCTAATTTTCAAAAAAGTGAACTTCAAAAGATATATAATTTTCTAAACGTGAGTTATGAATATGCTGACTATGCTAGATTGGAAAATGATACTCTATTTATAAAAATATTTGAGTTGCTTATGGAAATAAGTGATAAATCAAATACACTTAATAAAGTTGTAAAAGGAAATTATCTATTTATATAATAAATGGAAGCCAAATTCTTTTCTGAAATAGAGAAAAGTATGGATATTAAAACTCTCAAGGATTTCGAGAAAGAAGTAAGGACAAAAATAAATAATGAGTTTGAGACTCTTAGAAAGAAAAATGATGATCTTTCAAGAGTGCTAATAGCCGGTGAATGTGAGATGTGGGGAAAAATCAGAGATGAGGACTATTCTTGGTTGAAAATAAAGAGTGATAAAAAGAAGAAACTTTATCGTCTTATTGATATTTACTCGAAATTTGATAATATAGTTGATAGTGTTAAAGATTTAAATACAAAAGTTGAGGAGGTTAAACAGCTAAAGGATGCACCAGATGATACAGACTAAATATAAATTTTATATTTAGTCTCTTGCGAGCGGTCTTAAGAGAAGTATGCTTTTATAAAATCGCTGTTGTCATCATCAAAATGAGGGTTATGTATTACATCTAAAATACTATTACCTCTTTGTCGCTCTAGTAGATAATACAAACACCAGTAACCACATAGAACAGTATTGCGATTTTGTATTTCATCTATTGAATACACTATACGTTTTCCAGAGGTATTAAAATACTTTAAAGCTTCATTTGGCATTATTAAACCAAATGGATCGAAGTACTCGACGACTGGTTTACCAAGTACTGAATCCAGATTTCTATAACAAACCCAATGTGTTCCAGGGCCTTGAATATCATCAAGACTGATTATTCCACATTCTTTTCTAATCTTTTTTGGTAATTGGTCTCGACTGTAAATCCCTCTGAGTCTTTCAATACCAAGTTTCTTTACCCATTTCATGAGGTCAAAGTTGGATAATGGTTTAATTACAAAATGGTACCGAGAATGGGAATTGAGTTGAATGGGCTGTTTTTTCCTAGTAGTAGTCCCTTGCCTTTTGACTTTTTTTTTAACCCCCATTCCTACTGGGTTTTCCCATGTACCAATAAAGGGTGGTGGGCGATGTGGAACGAGCGGATAACCCTCACCATGTGTGGATTGAGGTGGTGGAACATAAACATTTCTCATATTACTAGACGATCCCCTATCAACCTGAAGACCAGATCCAAACATTTTTTAAACCAGACTAATTGCCATTGGAATTCCAATAGAAGCAAGTGTTCCCAGAAATCCTCCTTCTATGGAGTACCGAAGTGTGACGTCATAAAAAATGAAATTTGTGAAATTATGGGATTTGTTAAGCTATTCTGAAAGAACAACGTCCAAGACGCCTACCTGCCAAAAATTAGCAATTTGGGGCAAATTGTCTCTGAGATATTAGCCCAGTTATGCTCCGATGACTCCATACAAATCCTTCTAAACCTTACCTGGTTCCTAATCTTATGAACCAAGCCAAATTTAGAAGGATTTGTATGGAATCGTCACAGCACAACTGGGCTAATATCTCAGAGACAATTTGCCCCGAATTGCTAATTTTTGGCGAGTAGGCGTCTTGGACGTTGTTCTTTCAGAATAGCTTAACAAATCCCATAATTTCACAAATTTCATTTTTATGACGTCATCACTTCGGTACTCTATTTGTTTGCGGGTTGGTTTGATAACCAGTCGACCTCCTGTTTTATAAACTTTGTTAATCTGGTCTAATTGTGCTTTGGTGAACTCTCTAGCAAAAGGAGGTAACATTGGGAAAAATCTTTTTAAAATTGAAATTCCTTTACCAAATAACTTTTTTATTCCTATATCTCCTAGTGCAGATGCGGCTCCAGTAGCTAGTGCTGGTGCAACTTTAGAAACTCCCTTTATTGCGTAAGGAAGAAGTTTAGCACCAAGAGATGCTAGACTAGTGAATAAGTTTCCACCATGCTTTACAGAACGACTAATCTGCGTTCTACTTATTTTTATATCTGATCCTGTTCCATCTCTCCGTGATTTTTGTATTTTTGCAATCTGTCTGCGGGTTAGCATCATTTCATCTGATCCTCGAAGATGAGAATGTTTTAATCTAAGAGTTAGTGGTGATTTATTTCTGATTGCACTTATCAGTTTTGACTTTTGATTGGTTGTAAGCGTTACACCATATTCAATATAAGTTGTCATTTTTATTATAATATTTATATTAAATTCTTTTCTTGTAAAACAATTGCGAAAATAGTATAATCAGCATTGGGTTCCCCACTTAGTTCGTAACGAAAAGAAAGTTTTAGTGAGTCTTCTAGATTTGGTAATTCAAAATGAATAAATGGGAACAGAGACTCATAATTTGATCTATTAAGAAGTGTTCCTACGCCATACGACATAACATCTCTAAAAACTCTAGATGGCTCTGTGGATGGTTTGTAATGAATATTAGGGTAAACATTGTCATTTGCTTTAAGGTAACATCTTCTTAATTTTCTGTTATTTGCTACATTAAAGGTTTGGTACAAAAATGGGTTTGCTGTTTGTGAGTTTATATTTGCACTGTTTACAATAAAGATAAAAACATGACGTGGTTTTGACACCTCATTTGTTATTCTAAAAATTCCTTCTCTATGTCTTGAATCTGTAGAATTCGTCACGTACTCATTGAGATAAGCTTTTGGAACCGTTGGTGTTGTTGTATATTTTACTCTAGGAATGTATAGTTGTAGTTTTGTAATTATTACTCTACAAACATCATTACCTTCCCTCCATATAAGGTTATTGTCACTTTCAAATTCAATGTTTAATTCGAATCTGGAATCTGGCAACATCTTATCCCTAAGAGTTTCAAAAAATGAATACCTATTAAGAGGGATTTCACAATTAACAGTGCTCGAATTTCCTGGTTGTTTCTTTCTTCCATCAAACCCCTCATTGTAAGTGGGGTCTTCATTTTCAATAAAAATTCTTGGTGTCCAACCAGTATTTGCATTATTTCTTCCGTGTTGAACTTGCCTTGTTAAGTATTTATTTCTGTTTGGAGAATTTGTTGTATCAAGATAGTACATCTCATTTGTTCCAATAGACTTAGCATAGGAATGATTATACTGAAGCAGATTTTTCATATTTACAACATGATTAGCATAATTACATTGATAAGCCTCTCGGCCATTAATACTAAAACTAATTTTTTTTACAAATAAACTTGCCCCATTAACAATTCCATTTTTGTCATTGATGTTTACATTATTTCCAGTTAGTTTTGTTAATCTCCAATCCATTGACAGCCTTGCATTGTACCAATCAAGTGACTTGGCATCGACAACAAATTTAAAATTACCTCTGTTTTGATAGTTATTATTAGTAGGGATTACTAAAGGTTGTTCGGGTTCAAAAACTAAAACGTCATTCATTTTATGTTATAGTTATACAACTTCAAGCTCTAATAAGTAGTTTTCCATCTTCTTGTTTTATTTCTGCCTCTCGCTCATGAAGAACAAGAGCATAAAAGTTATAATCAGCGTTGGGATTAGCAGATAGTTCAAAATGAAAAGCTAGCTTTGTTACTCCATCTTTTATGTCCATTTTTTGTTTTGTTAAATAAAAGTATATAATTGGATAAACTTTTCTGTAGCTAGCCATATCAAGAATTGTTCCACCTTGAAAGTCGTTGTTTGCTTGAACATACTCCATCAAGCCTCTAAAAACTCTTGTTAAATCTGTAGATGGTTTATAGTGAAAATCGGGATATTCATTTCCATTTCCAACCCCGAGATGACATCGTGTTACATTAGCATTGTTTGGAATATTACCAAAAGTATCATATATAAATGGATTGGCTGTTTGTGCGTTAATTCTTGCTGTCTGGATAGCCCAAACAAATACATGGCGTGGTTTTGATATAGCGGTTGTAATTCTGTAATGACCTGTTTGTTGCTGTAAGTTGTTTGATATATGAACAACTTCGTTAAGATAAGTCCATTTATAAGGTTTAAGATAATCTTTCATGTATAACTTTTGCCCTTCTGAGTTAAAAGTTAACTTTGGAACATATAATTGAAGTCTTTTTATAATAACTCTACAATTAGCACCAGCCTGAAACACCAGATTTGCATCACTTTCAATTTCAAAATTTATTTCAATTTTTGTGTTAGGAAGTAGTTTGTCTTCTAATGCTTCAAAGAAAGAGTACCTATTAAGAGGTATTTCACAATTTACTAAAGCTGAAGCACCTAGTACTTTTTTTCTTAAAGCAAAACCAACGTTGTAGTTTGCATTAGTATCATCTCTCTCTGCAAGGCGAGATGTATCAGGATAGTAAAATTCTTTAGTGCCAATACTCTTTGCATAGGAGGGGGAGTACTCAAGCAAATTTTTTATATTTGCAACATGGTTTGCTTCATTACAACTATAAACTTCTTTTCCACTTGCCAGGATAGTTAATTTTTTCATAAATGAGTTAGAACCATTTACAGTTCCGTTATCGTCAGCAGCTCCTATATTTCCTCCAGCTAGTAGTCCTAGTTTAAAATCCATTGAAAAACGCGCGTTATACCAATCAAATGGAGTGGCCTCACCCGTATTATCAGCGATAAATTTAAGGTTTGGCGCTCTAACTTGGGCGGCATTATTAGCTGGGTCTGCTGTATTTATACCTTGTTCGAGATCAAATATAACATCTTCATATCTCTCGAGATATTTTGGGTTTCTAAACGATTTCATTTTATATTAATAATTATATAATTTTCTTAAGTTTTCCAAATATTGATTATATTCTTTTTCAGTCATTTTTTTACGTGATGGATTGGGAGTAGGAGGAGCCTCACGAGAAAGTATTTTTATTATTTTATCACCTGCCTTTTTGTCGACAAAAGAGCTCGGTTCAAATGTCACTTTTTTGGGAGGTTGAGGTGGGGATTTACGTATTGAGGATTTAGAAGCTGGTTTAAAAAAGGATTTTACTGAATCCATTATTCCTTCTCCATATATGTGCTGTTTAGTATATTTTCCTATTTCTGGGTCGTATTTTCTTTTAAACTCTGATTGTCGCATCATTTTATCTATAGAATTATACTAAAGGATTTTCTTCAGTATGACGAAGCAACAGCGTCATAAACCAATCAATACCATTTAGGTCAATACTATTTCCGAGTGAATCAGTTACATATATTCTCATTTCAGAAATATAATTAGAACTCACAGGACAGTACAGTTGCCTTCGAGGTTCAAAAGTGAATGGATAACTCCTCGTAAGATTACCAGTTGGTATAACGGCAATTGTGTTTGTATTTACTCCATTTACAACGGAATCTTTTATAGCAGTTGTGTTTATGTTTAATGAGTCAATCGATTTTGTAATATTAGGTAGGCGTGTTCCATACTCTGTTTTAGTCACCAGTTTCTTTTCAAAGCCGATGAGATCTCCAAATTCTGTTCCACGCAAATCAAGTTGGTAGTCACCACTAAGTGATACCAGTACTCGATACGTACTCAGAATAAAATTTAGATTGATTGAATAAACCTTTTCTCCTTTGGAGCCTGTTGTGTGATGAGACTTTTGAGACATGTATTGATGAATATAATCATTTATATCAGAGTAGGAATACATTCCATCTGTAAAAGTAATTGTATGCCAGGTTGTTCCATCATGGGTGTATTTGATTGTATTGTTGCTATAACTACTTCTGATGTTATACCAAGGGTAAGTCATCGACAACCTGTCCAGGGCGAGAAAATGCCTGTATTCTGAATCAAGTTTCAAAGGAGCATTAAATTTAACTATAAAATCATGGGATTTATTTGCTCCTATTTTCTCTCGTTTAACAGAGGAAATATGAATCGCGCTTTCATTCATTTATTATATACTTATATATTTTCTTAAAAGCGTATTAAGTTTTTTATTATTAATAACTCCAAGGTCTCTAAGTCGATGAGCTATTTGAATATATTCAGACAATACACCATTGTTTCCTGCGGCAAGTGATCAAATAACCAAATTCTTTTAATATCTCTAGATCTCTTCCTTCAAAATTTTTTTCTAAATTTAACATTCTAGTATCATCATCTGGAAGTCTGGGTTCTGGAATCCATTCTGTATCCCAGCCTCCTTCGTTGTCATATGGTAATTCTCTCATATCAGCTAATCGATTGAACTGATCAAAACCTTGAGTACGAGCAAGTTGATTTTTGTTAAGTTGTGCTATAGTTGCGTCTTGCTGCTCATCTATACTTTTTTTAATGCTATCTTGAGATTTAATAAGTGGTTTAAATGTTTCTTTAAAACCCTCTCTCATATTTTGTTTTTCCCATTTTGTTATTTTTATTATATCTCTCACCTGTTTAGTCAAAGCATCAGCTTCAATTTTATTTTTTGCAAATTTTTTGGCTTCTTGAATGTCCATTTTTATTCAATTATTATATAAATGGAAATACCTAATTATGATAGCATTCATAATCCAGATAAAAAATACAAACACTTATTTCCCTTTATGCCATCAGATACATTTCGTATGTTGATATGTGGAAATAGTGGAGGTGGTAAGACTAATTTGCTATATCACATGTTAATTAAACCACTTTTGTATTACGATGAAATTTATCTCTATGCGCGTAATCTAGAGCAGGATAAATACAAGAGACTAATTCAAAAAATGAGAGAGTTGTCCCATAAACTCGGCTATGAAATACTTCATGTGAGTAATGATGAAATAACCCCAGTGAAAGAAATGGATTATGAAGACAACCAAAAACTTGTAATATTTGATGATTATGTCTGCGATAAAAACCAGAGACAAATCATAGATTATTTTATTCAAGGACGACGTAAGAATTGCTCTGTAATCTACCTCAGTCAATCATTTTACAAAACTCCAAAGGATATTAGACTAAATTGTTCTCACTACTGCCTGTACGAATTTCCATCGTCTAGGGAGTCTAATAGGATATCATCTGAGTTGGGAGTTGATAAAGCACAGTATAAATCAGCAACACGAAAACCATTTACATTTCTGTATGTGGATAAACCAAAGAAAGTGATTGCCAAAAACTTTACTGATTGTATCTCTACGAGCTAATTGTATCTCTACGAGCTAATTGTATAACCCTATAATTAAAATGGGAATATTTAACGAACATTCACATAATAATCGATTTGCTAGGGGATTACAAGGAGCTCCAGGAGTTGGATTTAATCTCACCTCAGATGGAAATTACGATATGTCGGGAAAAAAACTAACAAACGTGGGCAAGCCCACAGTCAACACTGATGCGGCAACCAAAAAGTATGTCGATGACAATTTCAGTGGCCAACCTAAAACATCATTACTTAAAGTGGATTCAAACATTGATATGAAAGACCAGTTTCATATTCTAAACCTTAAAACTCCAACTAATGCAAAAGAGCCGGCCACAAAACAGTACGTGGACAGTAATTTCTTATACATAGATGGGACTAATAAAATGACTGGTATTTTAGACATGAACGGCAAAAAAATTAAAAATTTACCAAATCCAATGGATGATGATGAAGCATTAAATGTAATAACTGCAAATAAAAAATTTCTCCACTTGGATGGTACTAGAGCAATGCAAAACCATTTAAATATGAATGATAATCCTTTGATTAATCTAAAGGCAACACCTATAAATGCACAAGATGCAACATCAAAAAACTATGTTGACGAAAACTTTTACAAGAGAGACGGAACTAATACTCTTACAGGTGATTTAAACATTAATGGTCAACGAGTAAAAAATCTAATATCACTAAGTGAAAACAGTGAAGCAGCAACAAAAAAATATGTTGACGACAACAAAGTTGATGGTAGTGTCTTTTTAAAGTTAGATGGATCAAGAAAAATGACTGGAAATCTGGACATGAATGGTAAAAAAGTATTATCCCTTTCTTCACCGAGTGAGCCTTACCAACCAACAACGCTAGCTTTTTGTGAAAATGCTTACCTTAAAAGAGATGGATCAAATGCAGTGAATAACAATTTAAACATGGACAACAAAAAGATATATAACTTGAGAACACCAACTAGTGACACAGATGCTGCAACCAAAAAGTATATAGATGATAAAATATCAATCAATGGTGGAGCACTGGCTAATTATTTGAAAAAAGATGGATCTATTGCATTAACTGGTGATCTAAATCTTAATAGTAATAAAATAGTAAATTTATCCACACCAACTTCTGATACAGATGCTACAAACAAAGATTATGTAGATCACTTAAATCATGAAGGTAACATACAACCAAGTCATTATAAAAATCAGTTTGGTTATCTCATGTCAAGTGCGGCTCAATGGACTGATGAGATAGATAGTGGAAACTCCTTTAATATAACAAGGATAAGTGATTTACTACCAAACAAACGAAACTTTCACGACTACAATCACAAAGTTCTTTTTACGACTATAATTAAGAATTCCCAAGGTGGATACAAATACAAGATGGGAATTAATTTTTACAGACTAAAAGCAAATGTCGACTATACCCTTTGCCTGGAAATACTCAACACTGATTATCAACTGTGGCATAAGTCTAAAATATCTGTTGATGGGATTAATTCAACAGGATTAACAATTGGAAATGTTGGTGTAAGGAAACTTTCCCATAGTTTCAACGATTCAAAAGGTCAAATACAATATATGTATTACCATAGAATAATAGTTAATTTCCGGAAGTTGTCATCTGGTAATAAATTCCTTCTTCACATTTTGGTTAATATTCCACAAGATGGAACTGACCTGGCAGTATATCCTCGACAGTTTTCAGGAGTATATATAATTGCTTATGGAATTATAGGAACAACAAGTAATATCGACCCAGATAAAACCTACGACTACCACACCGCATTTGACATCAAACCAACACAAGTAGTGTACAATGTTGATATAAACGCAAATAATAAAAAAATATTAAACATTGCTCTCGATAGAAATAGTAACAATAGTGCTGCAACAGTTGCAATGGTAAAAGAGTTAATTCCTTTTACTACAAATATTTTATACAGAAAATATTTTGAAGAATACTATGATTTTACTGATGCAAATTTTTACGGATTAAGTAGAACTTCATCTGGCATTGTTTTTAATTCTTTAGATTCTATTAATGGTAATCCTACAATAAATGTTGGTATACCTAATAGAACCATAGATGATATAAGAAAAGATGGCTTAAATGTTAAAGGTTATACTATTTCTTTTAGTCCTCCTCCTCATAAATCAAAATATACTTTATGTATTGTTTTTTATCATTGGAGAAATAAGAATTTTACCATATATAAAAAAAATTCAGCAAATAAAACTGTTTTATTACATTTATATTATCTTAAAATAAACAACTCAGTAAATTTAGTTGTTAATAACATAAGAAGAAGTTTTTCCATGCTAAGTAGTTTTAATGGGAAAAAAATTGTTTTATGGCTGACAGAAGATTTTAGTGCAAATGTTACAAAAGCTAATATAAGTGACTACAACTCAACATTAACTATACCAACCGTTAATTACACCAACGAACAAGAGTTTGAGTTTACAACTCAAGATGGAGTGTTAAGTAAATTAATGTATTCTCCAAACTTTTACGACACTGACTCTGAGCAATTTCACAAAGTAATGCTTCAAGAAAAGTTAAGTGGATCTTATGTAACATAGATATAAATGAAGGATATATTTGAATTTAATCACATAGACGGGTCTCTGTCAGAATTAGACAT